AAAGCCACTTACCATCTTCATCATAGCCCTGGCAGGAGGAGACACCTGGGAGCGGTACCTGTTGTGCTCATCCAGGATTATCTTCTTTTCCTCATCACTCAGGGACCAGCTGAGCTCCAGCACTGTGAGCACCAGGAAAAGGGGAGGAAGACCCGAGCTCAGCATCGTGCAGCGTCGGCTTCTGCTCTTGGCAGCCCACGGCTCTGGCAGTGAGATTTATAGCAAGGAACACCCATCAGCTTTTTAAGATTTGGGGAGGAAATGTGTTTATTAGAGTTTTGGACCCACGTGGGACACACTCATGTCACGTATGGAGTCCTTGATGAAGAGGCACCACTGTGGCTGGTGCCAACAAACGCACAGGACAACTCCTGTCTCCAGAGACTCCACGCCCTTCCTGGGCAGCTGTTCCAGTGCTCTGCCACCCTCCATGGAAAGAACTTCTTCCTCATGTTGAGGTGAAACTTGTTGTGTTTTAGTTTATGGCCACTGCTCCTTGTCCTGTCGCTGGGCACCACTGAAGAGAGTCTGGCACCATCCTTTGGCACCTGCCTTTGATAGTTACAGCCATTAATGGGATCCCCTCAGTCTTCTCCAGGCTAACCAGGCCCAGCTCCTGCAGTGTCTCCTCAGAGGAGAGATGCTCCACTTCCTCAATCACCTTTTGGCCTCTGCTGGACTCTCTCCAGTAGCTCCTTGTCCTTCTTGAACTGTGAAGACCAGAACTGAACACAGCACTCCAAATGTGCCTCACCAGGGCAGAGCAGAGGGGCAGGATTCCCCCTCCCCTGACCTGCTGGCCACATTCTTCCCACTGTCCCCCACCATGAACTTCTCCTTCCAGGCCCCCAGGTCACACTGCTGGCTCATGATCAGCTTGTCACCCGCCAGGACCCCCCCAAAACCCTGCTCCCTCCCCAGGGATAACAGGACCTTGCTCTTGTTGAACCTCATTAGGTTTTCTCTCCTCCCAACTCTCCAGCCTATCAAGGTCCCACTGAATGGCAGCACAGTTTCTTTTTCCCAAACAAAAAAATGCTCTGGTTTTTTGTTTAAAATTATACTTCCACGTAGAAAAAAATGCCCTAAAAAGGGTTAAATGACCTCTCAGTGGCTGACATGCAACACAAAAATGAAAATCAGGAAAAGGTGCATTAACACTTGTATTTAATTGCAAAAAGTAAAAACTTTTTTTATTCTTCTTACATACAAATCTCATTTATTTACACACTTTACAGGCTTTTCCCAAGTATTTACAAAGTTTGCAATATATTAAATTATGACCATCCATAAAATTCTGCATTAAGTGCATATTTACATTCTTTTTTTTTTTTTTTTGAATCCACCACTGAATTTAGTGTTCAGCACTGAAAGTCTTTATGCATATATAGCTTTACTTCCCGGCACCCCTGAGCCTTTAGAACGTGGCTCCCCTCCCCAAGACAAAGAGATAATGCTAAAAATAAATCACCTGCCATTTGTTTTGAATGTCCAAAGCAAAGGGGAAGTCCAGCATCTCCCTTGTCTAACTCAGCAGGACACTAAATCTGCCCTTTAAAAGGAGGAGATTCCTGAAGAGGAGAATATTGAGCTCTACCTATAAAATTCACCAAGAGGAGAAAGTTTGGCCTGCAGGAAGCAAAAGCTCTTTGTGCACCCCCTGAAATGGCCTCACCCCAGGAAGTGTTTGGTTCTCTTAGAAACCATGGGGTTCAACCATGGACCACCGAGCCTGGAATTGGGTGGATGTGGAAAATTCCCTCCTGGAGCAGCATTACCGAGGAGAACCAGGGGGTTTCAAGGTTTCCCTTTTCTGAGACACTGATGTTTACAGATGCTTATGATGTTTACAGAGCTCACATCTCCACCATGAGATGTCCTGCTCCCAGCTCTTCTCACTTGGGATGCTCCTGCTGCTGGAGCCCAGGAGGCCACAAGGGAAGGGAGGTGCTTTGATCCAGCCCAGCCTCACCAGCTTCTCCACCAGAACACAGCAAAAACAGGACTAGTGGGAGAAGCTGAAGTCCAGAGACTCACGGGAAATCTGCCTCTAGAAAGCTCTCCAGGGGGTTGCAAAGGGAGCCTGAGGCTGGGAGCCCTGGGGGAATCAGGGTGTGCAGTGCCAGTGGGGAGGAAAAAAAAAACAGAAAAGACCAAAAAAAAGCTAAAAAAAAAATAAAAATCAATAGAAACTGTCATCCTGGCTCCCTTGGGGGCTGCTGATTTCCTGGTACTGAAGTAAATCATAATAGTCCTTTCTCCTCCTTGCAATTACCCTGAGTTCAGGACTGAGAGCAACGGTCAGTGACCCCTGCTTTGGGAAGCAGCTTCAAACCACCATCCTCCTGCCCAGCTGACGGGGCACAGCCCGTTTTTCCAGCCTGGCAAGGAGACAGGTGACCCCTCCCCATCTCTGCCTGGGGGTAGTACCGATTTCTGCTGTGATTTCAGAGCAGCTCTGCAGGTGGGTGAGGAGGAATCCATCTCCCAGCCAACAGAACACGAGCTCTGAAGCACAAAGGGATTTTAAAACCCTGGGATGCACAGGTTGACTGGGAACTCCTCTGAGCTGGGCAGGGTGGGAGTGGGGGATTGTCCAAACCAGCACAGGGAGTGCCAAAGGGGAGCTGAGGTGAGGGTGACCATGGTGGGACACCCCCTCTGTGATCTGTCACCAAGAACAGCTGCAGAAATAGCCCCATCCCCCCAATTCAGCCTCATCGGGCTCTCTAGGGAAGTCCCAGCCTCCTGCAGCCTTTCCAAGGGCTCTGTAAAGCTGGAGCTCTGGATGAGAAACCCCACCAGGGCTCACCTGCAGCTAAAGGTATCGAAACCTCCTTTTGGCCATCCTAGTTTTGCCACTTTGGCCTCACCTCCAGGTTTCCCGCGGTGCCGGAGGTGTGAGCACCACTCCTCTGGCAGCTGGAGACAGGAGCTGCTCTGGAAGCTGTGCTGCAGGCTGGGGCTCCGCAGCTTCAGCCAAAATCGGCTCTTTATCAGCAGGAGAACTGCCCTCCTGTTTTAGTTTAGCAGCTAATTCCTTACAGCTTTTGGAAGAGGAAGAGAAAATATACTGGAAAGCTTAAAAACAAATGATGTAAACTCCGGAGGGAGCGAGGCTGGGACATATGCAATGTATCGCCCAGACACCGAGCTGGAAACTTATGCAGAGCCCATAAAGTGCACTTGGAGAGCTGCTCTGCACACACACAGGCCACACTCACCAGCTCCTGTCCAACCAGCTGCAGCTCTTCGAGGAGGGGAGAAGCAACACGTGAGAACACTTTTGCTAAACAGGCACAAACCTGCCCTTTTCCTGCCCCCCTCCCCCCCCAAATCTAAACAGCAACCGTAAATAGATCCATTTTCTCTGCCTCTTCCCGAAAGAGCCAGACAGCCACAATGGCTTAAGTGCGACTCTCAGAATCCAGGCATTTCACAGACACTTGGGAATTGTCTCCACGGCTCTTTTACGAGTTACAGTCAAGGACACTTAGCAGTGACAGCGTCACCAGAACCGCCGCAATCTCAGCAAGAAAGGCCCCAGCAGCATCTCTGAGCAAGTGCTTTACAAAAGTGGGTCAGGTACAAAACCAGTGAGAGGTGAAGGAACCTTGTCAGCCTTTGAATTTGATTTGAGAAGCTGCCAAAGTGTAAATAGCAACAGTCACTAACGAGGCCCTGATTCTGCCATCACCAAACTCCCAAATTTCCATTAACTAAGACCCAGGCTTTAAGAGGAGGGAGGGGGGTGAGGGGGGTGTGTGTGTGTGTCTTGGCATGTACAAGATTGCATGTAGTGTCATGAGTGTAAAACACACCCCGAGCAACGAGAATACTAATGGAAGTCTTGTTAATCCAATTCTCTTTAATATTTTGCTACAAATTAGATCAGTCCCTTTCTATCCCGAGAGAGTCAGACTCTCCCCCTTTGGTTCTACTACATCTGGTGTGTGTGTTGGGCCAGCACTGAGGGTTATTAACACAGACTGACACAGTTGCTGGGGTTGTTCTCAAGTGTTTTGACAGGAGAAAAACAAGGGTTATGCATAGAAATGTTTGTAGTGTCAAGGCCTCAGACTAAATTCTTTGAAGCAGGAACTGTCCTTTGCCTTATCCTTGTACAGGAGCCAGGCATGGTCATCCCACTTGGCGGCTTTTGTCAGCCCCTAATAAGATTAGTACGATGTTTGCTCCCATTTCTCTCAAAAACAAAGGCTGGACAGACATTTTTCCAATCTGTCATTTCACACGTACCTAAAATATTTACAGAGAGAAAGGCTCCTGCTCCTGAGAACAGAGTTAACTCGCTTGCAACCAAAACCCCTCCCAGTTCCATATTAACAAGTGTGAGAGCATGTCCTGAACCCCAGCCCTGGCCTATGAGTTCAGCCTGACACATCTGTAAATGATCTTCAGCAGCGGGATCAGACCCAGAGGATCAGACTTGGAAGGGGCAGCAGCATCCGCAGCCTGCAAACACTGAACCCGAGCCTCTCTCAGGGCACTGCAGACAGCAGTGCTCCAGCAGCAGGAAACATGCAAAGGCAGCTTGGAAAGGACCCAGGAAAAACCAACCTTCACTCTGAAGGCAGAGCTCCAGGTCTGGAAGGAGTTGGTACAAAAATACGCCAGGGATGAGGGAGCTTCCAGGTGCTCCCGTGGGTCCTCAGGGCTGGGAACGCAGGCAGTGCCTCCAAAAACGAGGAGCTGCAACTGGCTGTGCAGCCCTTGGTGTCTCAGGTGAAACATGCACAGAGCTGCTCTGCCCCCAGCCCCATCTCCATCCAGAACTCCTGCACTCCCAGCACCACCAACATGAGTGTCGGTGCTTTTTGCAGGAAAGGAGGTGGAAGAGGAAAAAAAGCACAGTTACTATTTGACCCACAACCTGCAGATAGAGAACCACAAGAGTGATCACAACAGAGAGGCCTGAAGAGATTCTTTTGGTACAAGAATGATACAGTGGGCAAGGGGCAGAGACCCTCAGGCTCAGGGCTGCCCCCCAGCCCGGGAGGAGAGAGCTGGGATCAGCTCTGGGGGAGACACAGCCACAGAGGTGAGGGAGAGGTGGGGTGAGGCTGGGACACATCACCGATTCATTCCCTTTATAGAACTGGCCTGACAAGACAGGCTCAAAGCTTCCTCCTCAGGAGGAATGTACACAGAAATGTCACACACCCCCTCCACTCCCAAATTCCCCCCAGGAAGTTTCAGAAGTGCCATAATCCACAAAGGACACAAGGTGAATCTCATCCTGAGAAATCCTTCTGCTGTTCCTGGAAAAAAAAACCTTTGCTGCAAACCCAGGGCTTACCTGAGGGGACAGGGAAAGTCATAAATAGCTTGAGCTTCTCCCAAAACACATTTGAGGAAAGGCAAAGAATTACCTCAAGGGTCAGGAAAACAGTCATTTTTAAACACTGTAAACATGCAGGGTGGCAAAGCTGCCTGCCCCAGTTGCCCCAGCTCGCTCTCAAAACGTTGCCTCAGCTTCAAAGCTGAAAGTCTTCTTGTCCTGGGAACAGCTCTGTTTTCCCTCCCCTCTGTCCTTAGCTGGCAGCTCCGTCACAAACCACTGCTGGCTCTGTCCCTTTGGCCATGAAGCTCATTGTCCAGTAATCTGTGCTGGCATAACCTTTGGGAGAGGCAATGGAGAGGCCACATTAGATGAGTCCATCCTTAAATGACTGCTCCCATTTCCCAGGAAGGGCTGTGTGCATGCTGGAGCTCTTTGGAGACACACTTCCCTCGGGGGACACTGGGTTTGTGATGCCCATCGTGTCTCGGGCAGCCCACACTGCTCATTTTGACACTGAGCACCTCCTGGGATCCCACTGTTTGTGTTCCAGGCTACAAACTCCCAATCCAGAAGGATCATCCTCTGTACATGCAACAAGCAGGCCCACACCAATTTGGGAGTGACAACAGCACCGACCATTTTGGAGGTGGCAGTGGCACACACACCAGTCTGGAGGTGGCAGTGGCACACACACCAGTTTGGAGGTGGCAGTGGCACACACCACTGTCCCAGGTCTCAGAAGAAGACCCAGCTGGAAGCAGCCTCCTGACTCCAAGGGATCCAGCAGTCCCTGCACACCACAGCTCCAGTACTCACCCAAATCCCCAGCTTCCAGCTCCACCTTGAACATCTCACAGTGTCCTCTGCACGAGTCCAGAGGTGCAACAGTCAGGGTGAGCTGCCCACTTCCAACAACAAAGAGGCTGTGCAGGCTGTAGCTCTAGGATGAGAGGACAGGATTTCAAAAGCCTGGCCAGCTTTCCTTGCATCTGTCTGACCACACGAGGGGCCAGGTTTGCTGCTCCCCCCAGGTACCAGCAGATTACAGAATCACAGAATCACTTCACACAGGGATGGACAGAACTGATACAACCCTAAATGTTTCTTTTCAGGATTGTATCAGCTGAAAATGCCCTGCAAATCCCACAAAGACTTGGAGATGTTGGAGGGCAACTGACAGTCAGGGAGATAATGTCTCTGGGATGAATTTCTCACCTTATTCCCCAAATCTGGGTGGCGGATGAGGAAGCAGCTCTCCAGGGACACTGTCTTGGGGAAGGACAGCAAAGAGGGTGCACGTAAAAATTCCTGCAGAATCCCAGATTTATTCACAGATTTGTTCCTAAACAGAAGAAAACAACCCATATTAAAGAAATATCACACAATGATAATGTTTGCATTTAAAAGACACTCTCCTGACAAAATTCTTCACAAACATCTGGGCCTGATAAAAGCACGACAGACCAGCCCTGGGAGCTGGGAGCAAAATTCCACCTCTCAGCCTCTAAACCTCTGCTCCTTTCTATCTTCCTCTTTGTTCTTGCAGCAGGACAATGTGAGCAGGGAACAGACAGATCATGCTGGATGGCTAAACTCAATTTCCCTCTCTCCTTGCCTTGAAATGATCCGAGTCATCGACCGGATCCACCAGTTACAAAAGATGCAGAGAGGTGGCATTGTACACAGCCATAACTGAAACCACATGGTGAGGCCAGGGGGGATCCAGGCTTATCCTCTAGACTAGGAAATGTAACTGGAAAAGGCAGGGTGGGGTTTGTTATTTTTGACATGATTAATACTTCTGTACCCTGACCATCCCTCTACCAGCGCCTGCTCTGCAGCCCGAGAGAGCTCGGAGTTTTCCACGTCTTGTGGCCACACTAAAGGCTTTGGCAAAAAGCTTCTGGTTCAGAGGGGGCAGGAGCAGGGTTGGCCATTTTTTCAGACCAAACACAATGTGCAGGATGCCCTGGCCTTCTGGTACTTCTCAGTGTTTGCAGAACCTCTCCTCAGTCAGCACCAGTGGTGGGGGATTCCCACTGAGCAGACAGGGGCGATCAGAAATGTGAACCAGTTGCCTCAGGTAATCAAACCACAGCCCAGGTAATTAATGCACAGCCTGAAGAACAGGACTGAGCAGTCACTGGGATATTTTTGTCTTGTAAGAGGAGCAATACCTGAAGTCCAAGCCACAACACTCCATTTTTAGTGTGGAAGTCTTGGAACAAATCAGTGCCAGTAGCAGAGAAAAGCCTGTAACTCACTCCTGTTCTCCTTCCCTCCAGCTAAAATGCAATTTGCAAGCACTGGTGGTTCACACAGGCAGAGTCTGTGTCCATCTCTCACGTGTTTTGCCTTTGACTCACCAGGGAAAGGAAAATGGGCAGCTCCACAACTCAGCTGAATTTTCTTCTATTATAACCTCTGCCAGTTCTGGATCCTGGGACTGGAAATGCTTCAGTTCCTCATAGGAGAGATGCTGCCCTGTCTTAAAGGACACAAAACAAAGATCAAAGCTGTGCACCCAGAGTTCCTCCCTGCTCCCACTTCCCTCCTGCCAAAGAGCATCCAAAACTGCTAAGTTTCCAAATACAATGATCAGCAGTCAAAGGAGAGAACTCTCACCCCCCACACCTTTACACTGGGGTGAAATGTCTTCTTGGGCATATGTTCTACCTCAAGCAGCAGTTTTGAGTTTGTGGATGAAAATACTGGGCAGGGGTCTTGGGCTGGCGCTGTTGAAGAGTTGGGAGCAATCACCCAGCCTTACAAATCCCTGTATTACCTTGATTAGAAAAGGCTGGTGCCTCTGGAGCTCTTCTGATAGTTTTCTGGAGCCTGTCACTATCTGAAGGCTTTTCACAGCAGAACAGACTGTGCAGTTTGCAGGAAGTGCAGAAGTGTTCTGTCTGCAACCTGCTGCCCACCAGTCCTGGCATTCTTGGGAAGAAACAAGAGAAATGTGTTTAATTAAGACCAAAAATGAAATGGAAAGGAGACAAACTCGATGATAAACTCATTATCCCTAACATGACACGCTGAGATTTCTTACAGTTTCTGATGGCTGTAGCTCAGAAAGAACAAGCTTCCCTGGGCAGGGAACTTGAGAGAATGTTCCCAGCACATTTTGGAGATACAGCTGAAATGGGAGAGCTCCATGGAAATTCCACTTCTCTGTTCACAAGGCATATCCTTTCATTATCAACAGAAGGATGACAACCATCATATGTAGTGTAATAAACTGAAACAAGTCTATAAGCAAAAGAGCAACCCAAATGTGTTATCAAGGGAGTAACACCCAGCAGACAAAAAAAAGAACAAAAAAAAAAAGGATCCAGGTTGGAAAGAGTAGCTGGCACCAGGAACCCTGCTAGGAAATATCTGAAATCACCGTTCCCCCCTTTACCTCTGTGTTAATGAAGAACTATTTTATCCCAGGCAATGTTTGCCCAGTGCCCACTGCCCTGGGGAGCCTGTTCAGCGCCCAAGAACCCTCTGGGGGAAGAACCTTTTTCCTGAGATCCAACCTAAACCTCTGACACAAATTTCATAGCTGGAGATCCAGCAGAAGGTTCCGAGAAACGGGAGAGCTTCATGGAAATTCCGCTCCAAACATCAATTTTGTGGCAGCAATAGCCTTGGTTCCGCTGCCTTAATCCCACGGGAGATGTTTAACTTGGGAAGTGGCAGCAAACCCATCCCAGCTCCTGATCTGTCAGGGTGGGTTAGGAAAAACCCAGGGCCTGGGACACAACTCACACCAAACATCCCGAGATCTGTTCTCACAACAAGCCCACCTGTCCCAGCACGTGTCAAAACAGCTCATTGCTGCAAATTCAGGAAACAAAGGGGATGGAAAAGGGGAGAAAAAAACCAGAGTGAGGTCTGTCTGAAAAACAAAGTTGGGAAGCGAGGATGCACAGCAGCTTTTTTGGGGGAAAAAGACCACGCACGACCCGCCTGTTGTTGCCATCACCATCTCCAGCCGAGCTCCCGCTCCTGCACGTGGGAAATAACAGATGAACGGCACTTAATGGGAATGCTCGTTTTATTTTCCCCTCTGACATCTGCAACAGGCAACAAGGAATGTTATAGAGGATTTAGGTTCATTGGGACATGACAACAAGGAGCAGACTGGGATCCATTTTGTTTCTTGCTGAATATTTCCAGTCGACTCCCAAATGCTGCATTTCCCACCCTACTGCTGGGATATGGACTGAAAGGGATCAGGATATAATTCCTAGTCTTTCTGGAAGACTCATCTATGCTGCTTTCAGGGAAAGGGGAGAAAAGGCAAAGCAGAGTGTAAAATCCTTCTTGCAAGCAGAAGTCCCACTCCCATGAGAAACTGCTCCAACGTACTTTCCCTCCCTGCTCACAAGAGGAAAAAAAAGCAAATCTTTGTTCCACTGCCTGCAGAAAGCTTCAATTTTACAACAACAAAAAAACTCAACCCACAAAAAACAGCTGGTCAGTGACAGGAAACAAAGGGCTGAAAGATCTCACCAGAGAAAGGGCAGTCGCCCCGAAGAGAACAAGAAAACATATCTTATGGTCTGTCATCAGATGGGGAGTACCAGGACTATAATTTCTCTCTGGGCAAAACTCAGAAACTTCATCCCAGAGCACTAAGCACAGCTGTCCCCAAATTTTCTCTCTGGGCTCAGGGCAGTACCCCATGCAAGGGGATGCTAATCAGCTTGACAGTACAGAGCTTGATTCCTCTTTTGAGCCCGGCTGGGATATTTGCATTCTCAATTGCTCGATTCAGGAGGTGATTTCTTTTCCCCATGAATAACCGAGCACGGCTGAGATGCATTTCAAATGCTGCAAGTGGGGTTGTGGGATTTTTTTTTTTTTTTGTGGTGTTTTTTTCTGGTTGGGTTTTTTTTTTTTTGGTAATTAATCTTTTAGATTTATTGTGGAGGGTGTTAGTCTGTGCACCAGCATGTGTGTGACTGGCATGACAAGTACGGGCAGCGCCTGCCCTTCCCAAGGAGGGTGGGAGGAGAGACAGAGGAGCCAACATGAACTGCACGCTGGGGACCAAGGCAGGATTTTACCCAGGATGCTTATTTTTCTCTTCTTACCCTCCCTGCATTCCTTTTACATTATCACCCTGCCCTGACAGCCCGGGGGATTGTTTCGGTGGAAGCTGAGCGCGCTGTCTGCGTGGGGATGGGGATGGAACAGAGAAGATGGGCTCTCCATCCCAGCACAACCATCACACCACGGTCCCATCCACTCACATCCACAGTGCTGGGCGTGGGCAACCATCCCTGTGGAGCTGGAGTGCAGGAGAGCAGCTGTTACACCGAACTGTCCCTTGTGGGACAGAAAGAAACATTGGCCAGTCCCGACCGACCTTCCCTCTGTGCTTTCTCACCCCTCTCTGAGGGGCAGCCTTCACCTTGTCAAGCAGAACCTCAGTTTCCCACCGGCCATACCCACCTAATATTTGCTTTTATGTGCTATTATTTCCCCAGAACAAGAACTGTCTTCTCCCCTGTGTCAGGAGAGCTCCTGACAGCACAGCCAGGGCTGGGATTTCCAGCTGCTAACACAGCACAGACCAAAAGATAACAACTTTCCCTTGAAACACATCTATGATTAATGCTACAAGGAGTTTATGACTCTACTTTCCACTATGCAGAAAAATAATTTTCAACTCAACATCAATTTAAAATGAGTACCCCGCCCTCCTTGGCCTTTTTCACAGAGGATCTCCCAAATTTCTGGCCGTCCCCAGCACTACGAAAGGGGGTGTGTGCACAGCCCCAGAGATGCTGGGTGTGGACAATCAGACTGGAAGCTCAGGGGTTTCTGAGAAGACCTGGCCCTGCTTCTGCCCGTTGCAGCAAAGCAAATTAACTTATGGAAACTTGCCCACATGGGTCTGGGAGCAGGATCTCAGCAAGGCCTGCTCTCTTTAGGGACCATATGGAGGGCGCAGGATCAGCCTGTCTGTGCAGCAGGTTCAGAGGGAACCTTTTGTATCCTTTTGTTCCTGCAGGATACGGAGCCAAGGGCTGCTCCTGACCCTAACAGAGCACTGAAAACACAAAACCTCCTGTGTGTAGAACTGCAGGTGCTGAGGCAGCTTGCTGGCTCCTCACCAAGCTGCTTTGCACCCCAGCACTCAGGACTGCAAGGCTGGAACAATGTCCAGCAGGCAAGTGACAGCCAGGTCTGCACAGGGAATTCTGATCCCAGGGAAGGGAGATTCCCCCAGGACCTCCCAGTGCCCCTAGGTGTTGTGTCTGTGGGGGTTGTTGCTGCCATCACCCATGATAACTCCAAGAAGCTCCCCAGAGGGTTGGTTCATGCACTAAGCAGCACCTCCAGAACCTGCAAAAGTTGGTTCCAAATCCCAGATTCCTCTTGCTGAGGATGAGATTATTCCCCAGTCGCACCAAATACCTCACCAGGGACCAGTCCTACAAGTATTCAAGCAACTTCAGCAAGCCTTGGATGAACCTGGGGCTCCCACAAATGGCTGTGCACTGAATATTCCCAGACATTTCTCTGTCCTTTCTTGTAGGTCCATTGTACATATACATTGGCACAGGAAAATCCCATCATCCTTACTTTACAGCTGTAGAAATTCAGAGCTCTGTAGTCACCCTGTGGCAGAGTTTGGAGGAGGCATTTGGAGCCCTCTGTAGCCCAAGCAGTGTTTCCCAAACTCCATCTTGCTGAAATTCTTCACTAGGCTAAAAATTAACGTGATCATTTATAATGTCATGTCAAAAGTCAGGCTAAACTGATGGGTTCTTAAGTAAGTCAGGCAGTAAACATAAGGATTATTAATTACAGCCTGGGAGTGCTGATTAAGGGCTGCATCACAGTGGGGGTTTAAATATATACTACAAAGAGTGTCCCTGCTCAGCACAAGATCCTCACCCCTTCCTCACATTGAACTTTTATTGTCTCTCTGAGCATATTGAATGTATTTATGCCAGGGGAAGAAAGTACCTCCCAGTTTGGTTCGTGGCATTTTTAGGAACAGCCAGGAACAAAATAACAGCTACAAATGAACCCATCAAGGAACCTTTATTGTTGTTCTGGGTAAGAAGTCAACAGCTCGAAGAACTACTCATTCATCTCACTAATGGGTACCGGCTGCTCAAACAGCCCAAGGATGATTAGTCAGTCTCTAGCAAAGCACGAAAATGATTTTGATCCAACGAGACATTGTGAAATCAAGTCTGCTGAGCTGAGCCCAAGAGGAATTCACAGTCCACTGGGGCAAGAGAGCATTATTTCCAGGAGAAATCTGCACCTACCAGTCGAGAAAACAGAAGGCAGGGGCCAAGCTGTCAGGAAAGCATCCAAAGTCCACTCCAGCTGCACCTCTGGTTACCTGCCCCAGACAGTTTGTGCTGCTCTGGCAGTGGCTGCATCAACAATCTGCCTTGGAGGAACAGCTTGTGAAACAAATCCCTCCCAGCTGCTGTCACCTGCCTGCTGGTGGCTTCAGCCTGTGAAAGGTTTGACAGGTGTGTGTCACAAAAGGGCTCTGCCAGGCCGTTAAATGCCTCTGCAACAGGCCACCTATGGCAAGTGCTCTTTCCAGGGAAGCAAGTCCAAAGGGAGAATTCACTTGCTCTGTAATTGAGGAAGCAAGAAATCCTGGAGGCATCACAGCAGAGGAGCAAAAGGAAGAGTTTTTTCATGTGCCAGGGTACCACGATGATTTGGGGCTAGTTTACCGCCAGCAAATGCAAATAAACAGTGCAGTGGCTGAACAGGGGCCAAAGTAACACGGTGTATGAACAGCCTGGCACCGCCCTGCACTGCCAAGTCAGCCCTTTTATTGCCCTTTGAACGAGCCAACACATGTCTGTTGGTCTCTCAGGTTATATCATAAAAGGGTTGTTTATACACACACACACAAGAGCAGCTACGCTGGCAGCTGTGCAGAGATGGGAGGGAGCCCT